TGAGGGAAAAGAAGGCTGCTCTTGGGGTTATAACGAAGAAGAACTTGCCAAAACAAAACAGACATTACCAGAGTTCATAACTTATTTGTCAGTGCCTGGTGTTTGAACCCTTTAAATTGACTTAATGGATCTTCTCGTGGGTTTTTTTTTATTTATTTATTTTTTCTTTGCTTCCACAATCCCAGAAATGTCTACATGACTTCTAATTCCAGCTGTTCCAGCTGCAGAGCGGTTAGGGAACAATCAATTGGTTTATACTGTCTTCACCATTTAAGGATTGCATGTTTAAATGATGAGTTTTGTGTGGAATGTTTTATTAATGCCAGCTTCACAGCTGCAAGAATAACATGTATGTATGTGGTCCTGGAGTTTTACACAGTAAAGATTTAGTCTGTATGCTTTTCTGTTTTGATTCTGTAGCACATGCCCTTAAGATGTATTTTCAGAAGTGAATTGGTCGAAATAGGTTAATAGTCTTATTACAGACCTTATTGGGCAATGTACATGAAGGACATTGTAATAAATGGACAGGAATACATGTGTTTAACCTTTTATTAAATGTGTGCTGTTTGTAATCGATCAGTCGGCACAGAAAGCCTGAATGAGCAAGGGCAAAATGCTGACATGAGACACACTATTGTATTTATAGTCTGCTTAAATTACTTAAAGCGGTTGTTTGATCTCTTGAAGCACTACTACACCGAAAGGGGAATTCCACTGATTTTTCAAAATTGCTGAGATGTGAGCATTCAGAGTGAAATGAGGTTTTTGTGAAGCTTTCCAGCCTAAAGTGATAGTGATGGGATCCAGGGGTTGTGATGTCTGCAAATCAAATATAACCATTTTATTTGCTATCCAAATGACCAGTGATCCTACATGTTTCTTCTGAAAGTTGATAATGGTAAATTAGTAGTAATAATCTATATATATATATATTCAGTTAATTTTTTTTTTCCAGTGTAAAAAAAAAAAAAATCCATCTCCATTTTTTGCGACTTTTCTTTTTCTACATCATTTGAGCTGGGCAGCTGTCCTTTACACTGAAACTTCATGATGAATGAACCAATGCAAATGCTCCAAATTTGCTTAGATCAAAATCTCTTTACATTAACTTACATTAAAAGATGCTTGTTTTTCTTTGGACAGCTGCAATTGATTTTTTTTTGTTTATTTTTTTTACTACCAAGGAAATATTGTGCTAATTATTTTTAGATATCAGCCAAGCCTACTTTTCTATTCTGTTTTGCTTTGACAACACCTTGAATATGCTTTTCCACAATGAATGTAGTTTAAATGTCTTGGACCAAAAGTGTATCTCAAAAATATCAAAGCAATATCTCAGACATCAGGCAGTGGAGCTGTAAATTACCTTTCTATGAGGTTGGGCTGGTTCCTATCACCCCACTGAGAACAGATAACTTTGCATCAAGCCATTCTAAATGATTTTTTACATTTTTACATGATTGATTTCTGTAGAAAGTAGAAATTTTGAAAAAAAGCAGTGGAGTTCCCCTTCAGGTTTTAACTGATAGGGTAAGTTGATGTGTAAATGATTGTAAATGTATTAGTGTCTGAGAACTGGGAATACTTCCTGTCATGCCATCAGTCTAATTTAGCATGAAGAGGGAAAAAGAACCTACAAATCTGTTTAGTGTCCTGCGGTTCTTGCTGGACATGCTTAAATGCATGAAATATCCTACCACAAAATATACTTGTGAATTTTCTGGACAGAGAAATTGCAAAAGCCTGCATTTCAGCCTAAAATCTACATCTTGGAATAATTGCTTACTAAAGCTGTCATTTTATTGTATTCCATTTTGCAGTGACAAATGCAATATTGCAGCCAGTCAGTGCTTACATATAACTCAATAACTCACTCTGGATCTTTAGCTCATGTGAAAGGACTGGTGGAACTAGACTCTTGAGAAAATTAGAGCAAGACAACTGATCATATTACCTTCTTTGTGACTGAATATTCCTGTAATTTTCTGTGTGCGTAGAAGCAGCAAACGCACATCGGTAGTTCATCCTAGAACATGTTTAATGCTTTTATGTCAGCTTGTGTGTAAATAATTGTACTGCTGCGTTTTGTAACTTTTTTTTTCTTTTTTCTTTTTTTTTCCTTTCTCTCAACAGAGCTTTCCAGCCTGAAGGAGGTGAACAGAAGGTAAAGACGTGCTGCCTGGTACACCTGCAATGCTCCTACAGTGTTTCACAGCCTGTTAATGATGTCTGAAGTGGCGTATAGACAGAAACTCTCCTAAATGGGTGCTATTTTTCAAAACTGAACACTAGGGCTGCACGATAAATCATATTTCACTGTTTTCACGATACAAGTTTCCGGGATAAACTCACTGTTAAGGCCTGTGATGCTTTTGACGTAGTCTCAGTGTTGCGTGTGTTGTGTGAAGCAAACCTGCATCACCTCAAGGATCTTTTAAATTCAGAATATTGTCACTGTTGGAAACAAACCTCTAAACAGTAACTTTACAAGAGAAGCCAAAAAGCTTTCAGTAGCCATGTTTACATGCAGCCTGATAATCTGTTAATAATCCGACTAATAGTTCAATCAGAATAGACTAGTCTGATTGAGGCCATTCGGAATACAATTTCTATCAGATTGAATGAGGTGAGTAATCCTGTAGATAGTCCGTTAAATAGAAGCATAATAACCGTGTAAACGTCTATCTGATTACATTCCCAATCGGAAAGTTTAAGTACATTGTGCGCATGTGTGTGGCGTCATAGTGAAAGTTTATAACGTTAACATGGTGGGAGGAGAAACTGGTCTGCAGAGGAGACGAAGTTTATGCTCTGAGCTTTAAAAGACGGCGGTGGGACGGGCCTTCTTTAATAAGAACATGTGAAGTACGTTTTCCTCAGTCTAACATCACTTTAAAGTAATTAAAAACACAAGCACTGCTCACTGCTGCTCATCTTATTCTGACTGGACTCACGTGATGCTCGTTGTCATGCTAACGTCTACACTAAGTGGTTCTCTACGCCTGCTAGTAATTTTGGATCGGATTACTTGCATGTAAACTGAGATCAGATTATTGAGTAGAGTGAGCACAACTAAACACCTCAGTCTTAATCTATAAGCAGAATGTATTCGGTCGGATTGGAGAAAACCTTTGCATGTAAACACAGTCAGTGTAAGTTAATGTAACAAGACTCCATTTCTAAAAGTCATTTAGAGTCATTTCAGTTGGTTTGTTGATCATGAAATTTTGACAGGGTGTGAACAGCAGCTGTTCAGTTCAAATTATGCACAAAGAGATAAAAATGGAGATACAAGGTTTGTTCCAAGAGCAATGATATTTTTGTTTTTCATAGTCCTACACAGAAAATAGAATATATTTTATTTACATATTTTTGCAGTCTCTATAGAAAAAGCTTTTCAGGCAGTTCTGAAAGTAGCCATTCATATTTCATTATTTATTTTGCACAACAGTGAAATGGTGCTTCTGTATTTTTGTATTTCTTTTGCTTTTTACGTAAAAGAGGTTAGTTAGATTTCTGCTTATAACACCAAAAATAAAGAAAGGGTGGGGAAAAGTCTGTACATCTGTCACATCCAGTCAGAGGCGCAGCAGTATAATGATAACGTTTCATTTCTAATATCATTGTGATGTCGAGCCACACCGTTTGTATCGTGCAGCCCTACTGAACACATATGTATGTGCATACTTTCACACTCTGTCTCCTGCACCGTCAGTACAGCTTGTTCTTGGACCGAATTGGTTCTCACGAGCGATGCGTCAAGTCTCATGACTTTCTGTAATTCTAGAAAGCCACCACATGAGTTTGGCTCAGTTTTGCTGTGCTACACTTTAGGAGCATTTACGTTTGATCACTGCGTGATTGATTGCCCTTTGCTTGCCTTATGATGACCTGAAGTTTGTTGATGCACTCTGATCAAAGCGGTTTTTGGCAGTTTTTGATGTGTTGTGCACTGCAACAGAATGCACAATCCCAGACACAATTTATAGGACCATAGTGACAGTGACTTGGCCATAGTGGCCATGGAGCATCCCTCTTTTGAAAGCAAGTAGAAGTAAAGCGTAGTAGTAAAAGTAGTGCAGGATGGTCTTAAAATTCAACATATTGCTGAAAATTACATAGTATCATGATACTTTAAGACATTTTTGCAATGCACAGTATGCATCACTGTATTTAATTTTTCTATTTTTTGATAAGTTGGAAGAGGCAAAGAACCAGTAATGTAGTAGACAGTCGATCATAAACTATGAATACAGTCATTTGTATTTTATAAACAGGACTAATTATGCTCTCTTTGTAATGAAACCTGTAGTTATTGAAGTAATGTGGCATAATTTGTCACAATAATGATAAATATCGTTATATTGCCCAGCTTTTATTATCAAATCTTATTTGAATTTGCATTTATAAAGTGTAAAGGCCTATATCCTACATTTAAGGTTCATTATTTCCTCAGAGGTCCACTTATGATATTTTTGTGGTTTTATGTACCAAAAACCAAAAAATCTTAATTTATACATGACTATTTTTCAACCTCTCTTCACTGCTCAAATCTAAAATGTTCATCGCTCAAATATATGTACATGACCTCTGTTCTGATTGGCTGGCCTGTTGGGAGTCCACCACTGAAACACTGCTTACTTTAGTGCAGGGTTGTCCAGTCTTATTTGCAAAGGGCCGGTGGGGCTGCAGGTTTTCATATCAAACAAGCAGGAGGACACCTGATTCTACTGGTTTAATCAGTTGGTCAGTCTTCAATTGACTCACGTGTGCTCCTGCTTTGGTGGAATGAAAGCTTGCAGCCACACTGGCCCTTTGTGGATAAGATTGGACACCCCTGCTTCAGTGTGAATAGACAATGCCTTGTTTTTTGTGACCTCACAAAAACAATATATTCAGAATATACTGCGTTTGCAGCTCAGTTTGAGTATATGGACTAGGGAGTGCACAGTAGAAATGTTGTTTACATACTGTATTGAAGCTTTTTTTACAAAACTAGGAAAGTTTGATTTTCCAGGATACGGGCCCTTTAATGAACCAGTGCTTCATCAGTACTGGTACTCTGTACAAGGGGACCCCAATCCCAGTCATGGTGGCTCCATACTCTGCATGTTTTTATGTTTTCCCAGTCAACAAGGACCTTAATTAATTAGTAAAATAGTCGAACTTAGGTGTGCTAGACACAAAACATGCATAGTGTGGGGTTGCCTGGACTTTATACTAAGAGAACATCTTACAAACTTGACTTAATTTGTTTAGGCTGTTTTGTCCTATACAGTATTGTAAACGACACCCAGAAAGAAAGCAGATTTCTGGTATTGTGTGACTACAGTACCGGTATACTGGCATGCAGAATGTATCACTCAGCACCAGAAATCCATGTACCTTCAAACCTTGATGACCATTCAAAATTAGATTCAATTTTAACCTACACTTTTAAATACATGTGAGGCTGAATGACTTGGATTCGATTGGGTGAAATGGCACCCTCTTGTGGCTACCTTAAACCAGTGCACAGGCCTGAAGCACTGCATTCTTCTTCCAATCCCAGCCACCTTATCTGAAAGGTTAGGCTCAATTCTGGAAGCCACTCAAGTGCTGAGTGCCAAGGCAGCAGAAAGCAGAGAAGATGCTTTGGCCGGCGCCCAAGAGACATATTCCTCAGACAAAAGAGTGAGCTCGCACTTCCCCAGGCTTTTCTCTCCTCACTGCTGTGGTGAATATGCGATGGCGGTTTTATCACTTCACACGACTGTTGGTGTCATTTTGTGATTGGTCTCAGAGGACGAATGAAAACTTGGTCGTTTTATTTTAAGAAATAACACAGCAACAAGAACGGCACCTGTTAAAGGTATTAGCAGTATTATCTTCTCCTGTCTATAAGCTGTTCACAGTTCCTTGTTTGTATCTGGGATTGTCAGTTCTGTTAAGATTGATGGTGTGTTTGTGTGTTGGCTTTTTTTTTTATTTGCATGGTTTTGCATTTGTTTGTTTTGTGTGTCTTTGTTTCCTGTCTAACCCTCAGGGCTCGCTTGCTCCTGCACCCAGCCAGCCTAAGTACTCCTTCACGCCCAGCACGAGCATAAACAAGATGGCACGGCCTTTCTCCGCGGCCGCTGGCAACTCCAGCACAGGGCCTGCCATCAAACCGGTGACTTACTCGCCCAAGCCTAACCCCACTGCGTCTAACCCCAGCACTCCAGCAACAGGCAGCATGCCACAGTCTCACAATGGGTAGGTGACCACAACTCTCGTGGCCAGTTGGTGAGGCCAGCCCTTTCTTTTTCTCTTTACATTTTTTTTTCTTTGTTAAGACATTTGTTATGGCTGTAATTAAAGCAGTGAGCCATAAGAGGCCTTACATTACAGCGATTTTATCCCTTTTGTGGGGTGTTGGACACATCAAGAAGCGGCTAAAGTCAAAACCTTGTATCTCCTTTTTTTTGCCTTTTTAATTTTAATTTTTTTTATTACATAACTTGAAAACAACAGCTACTGTATACACAAACTTTTATTGATGCATGGACTATTAGAAATGGTCCAAAAGGACTTAGAATGAGATCTTTTTGCTGTAACTTGCATTGACGGTTAAGAAAGACAGCTTAACTCCAGCTGTGTGAAAGAACCTGTTCCAGTAAAGGCTCTGCAGTAATGCTGTGGTAAATGAACGCGAGCTGAGACACACAGAGCTCACATCAGCTTCCTTTAGACAGACCTCGTGTTTCTAATACAACAGCAGTGCATCAACAGAGACACGAGACCCAGCAGCTCCCCACTGTGTTGTGTGTGAGTGAGTGGGAGTTGAAAGATGTCTGGATGGAGGGAGATTCAGACTCAGGACTGTCCAGAAGAAAATCTCTCACTCCCTTAATCACTTACTCACTTAAACTCTCTCTCTCTCTTTCTTTCTTTCTTTCTTTCTTTCTATCTTTCTCTATCTATCTGTCTTTCTCTTTCTCTGCTTCTTTCTTTTTCTCTGTCTGACTCTCTTTTTCTTTGTCTCTTTCTGTCTTTCTCTCTTTTTTCTTCTTTCTTTTTCTCTCTTCTTTTTCTTTCTATCTGTCTGTTTTTTTTTTCTCTCTTTCTGTCTTTCTCTTTTTCTTTCTGTCTCTTTCTCTCTCCCTCTTTCTTTCTTTCTTTTTCTTTATTTCTGTCTTTCTCTCTTTCTGTTTCTTTCTCTTCTCTTTTCTTTCTTTTTCTCTCTTTTTCTTTCTATCTCTTTGTCTTTCTCTCTCTATCTCTTTCTCTTTCTTTCTGTCTGTCTGTGTCTCTCTCTCTCTCTCTCTCTCTGTCTCTCTCTCTCGCTCTCTCTCTCTTTCTCTCTGTCTGTTTGATCTAGGTTGTAAACACTGGTGGGGGGGTGGGGGGGGGGTTTCTTCGGGGGGCTTTTTAAAAATAATTCTGAATTGTACCAAAACAATAGAGTTGAGTTGAATCATGACTGTGTGTCTCTCTCTCTCTCTCTCTCTCTCTCTCTCTCTCTCTCTCTCTCTCTTTTACTCTCGCGCGCTCTCTCTCTCTCTCTCTCTCTCTCTCTCTCTCTCTCTCTCTCTCTCTCTCTCTCTCTCTCTCTCTCTCTCTCTCTTTTACTCGTGCTCGCGCTCTCTCTCTCTCTCTCTCTCTCTCTTACTCGTGCTCTCTCTCTCTTGCGCGCGCGCTCTCTCTCTCTCTCTCTCTCTCTCTCTCTCTCTCTCTCTCTTTTACTCTCGCGCGCTCTCTCTCTCTCTCTCTCTCTCTCTCTCTCTCTCTCTCTCTCTCTCTCTTTTACTCGTGCTCGCGCTCTCTCTCTCTCTCTCTCTCTCTCTCTTACTCGTGCTCTCTCTCTCTTGCGCGCGCGCTCTCTCTCTCTCTCTCTCTCTCTCTCTCTCTCTCTCTCTGTCTCTCTCTTTCTCTGTAGCATTAAGCAGCTGGCTCTGTTTTTTCCTCTTTGGCTGAGGTGGTCCCAGTGCCGCCCAGGTGTCCAGTTTTTCACACAGAAACGGTGTTTGGAGCAGCGCTGTGTCAGACAAGCTCCCAATCTGTTTTTTCACTCCTCCTCTTTATCGTCCCTGTGTGGGAACGGTCGCTCGTCCCTGTCTCGCCTCTGCCAAAGACGGCCAGAGAGAGAGGCTGCATTTTAACTAGACCTTTTCATTTCAACACTCAAAACAACAGATGTTGCTGGTCAGGAGAGCCAGAACAGGAGGCAGTGAATATCTCAGCTTTGCGAGGGCTTTGGGGAAAGAGTCGAGAGGTGCTACTTAGGTGTGTGCGCGTGTGCTTGTTTTCATACAGTTGTAGGACTAAAATCATCCTGTTTTTAAAGTTCAAAGTTTTGTTTTTTAAAACTGAAAGAACAAAAGAATTATTTTTTCTCTTCTCTATTTTATAGAATTAAGCAGTTCCTTTAAGACTGATACATATATCTTCGTCTTCTTCTCCTCTTTCTTCTTTATCTTGTGCTCCTTTTTCCTCCTTTTTCTTCTCCTTTATCTTCTTTGTCTTCTCCTTCTTCTTTCTCCTACTTTTCTTCTTCTTTTCCTCCTCCTCCTCTTCTGCTGTATATATGGGACATTATTACATATAGCTACTTACATATCGCTCTTGTTGGAACAAAACCTCCATTTTTGTCGTTTTTCAGTTTTTCACATAATCTGAAAATGCCTGTTGCCCTTTACATTGTGTCAGTGTTTCATGATGAATACACCAAAAGAAACAGCCCAGAATTACTTGGAAAAATGTCTGGTTCCATTGACTTACATTCACAGTAAAATGTTTTTTTTTTTTTTACTCCTGTAAAGTTAACTTTTTGGAGATATGAGGTTTTGTTCCAGCAGCGATATAAATAATATTTATAGGACATATGATCCTCATATCCTGACATTGTATACATACAAGTGAGGTGTGTGTGTGTGTCTGTGTGTGTCTGTGTGTGTGTGTCTGAGTGTGTAAGGCCTCTTGATGTTGTCTGTTGCTGTTTATAGAGCTCAGACCCTCCCCTAAAATCCGCTGAGCCCTCAGAGCGCTTCTGCTGCCAGGGTGCTGAATTACTTAACGGCCTTACTTGGACACATCCTCACCTTGGTGTCTCTTCTTCTCTTCCAAAAGAGATTTAACACAGCTCTCTTGCTTCCCAGCACGTCACAAAAAGTGTTCATGCTAAGAAAGAAACTTTGGTCATTTGGTCATTTCCTGCAAAATTGCAGAGTTATAACTCTTGTTGTCTCTGTGAAGCGAGGAGGTGTGCATTGAATTTTGTAGCAGGTCTGTGGCAGCATTGAGGGGTGCGTGTTCTGTGAAGTTTATTCTGTTACATCAGTGCTCTGAAGCTGTTTACAGCATTACTCATAGTTGAATGTTTACCTCTATCAGTATACAGTTGTGCATGTGCAGCATGGAAGCTATTCCAAGAACTTTTGGAGAAACTAGAAACAGCAGAATGATTTTTCTGATTCAAAATATGATGCTAGCAGTTTTGGAACCACAAGAATAGACACTTTGCAGGGGGAAAAAGGCTTTATTGCTAATCTGCATTTACTTTCAGCAGAGTTCGTAAAGGAGTTCTCCAGCATTTTCCTGTCTAATCTCTGTAGAAAACAGTTGATTACCATGGACAGTCATGTAAACATGTGCCCCTGTACTTAGAAAAGCACAGAAAACCTGTTGACCCTTCGACATGCATTTATAGTACAAGCCATTGGGCAGTTGCTGGATTCTGTCAGGAACCATTTACACAAAAAAAACTCGTAGAACTTTTCACGAATTCTTTAGTCAAATGTATTTGTAAATTAAGCTGTAATTCTATAGATGCGTGAATGTGCAAAGTTCACTATGGATGATTGATTTATTAATTTAATTAACTAATTAATTAATTTTTTAATGGATCAATGCCATTTTTTCAGACCGAGTGCATGTTTTTAGATAATTGCTAATATGGATTTCAATGCCATACTGAGTAACCTACTTCGAATTAAGTAGTTGTCAGTGTAAATGTGTGCAGTGTAACTTAGCGGTTAAATTGTTCAAATCTAGCAGATTTTAATTGATTTGCTTTAGCTTGCTGTACTACATTAGTTACGCTGTACATAAGTAAAATACATTTCATAGTTTTGATCCCCCTCTCAGCAGGGCTAATCCAAGGCTAATACATATGAAGAGCTCACGTTTTGAGTTTCATATCTTGTTGGAGTAGTTTGTTTGGCCGGTTGAACTGTAGTTGAACATCCTCTAAAGCCAGGCACACACTTTCCACACACTTTGGTGTCTCACAGTGTATGTTTGAATCAGCTATCATTTATGGACAAAGCTTGCAATTTATATACACTTACTGTATGTAAACACTCGGTCTGATTAACATGCTACATGAAACACAACCTCTACTGTCAATTATTGATAAATTGGCTGTTTTGAGCCAATAATGTATTTAAAATGTACATGGTAGGACCGTATGAAGTCACTACAGCCTATTTTAAAGTTTATACTTCCTTGTTCCATTCAGTCAAACGGAGTAAAGTTTGTATATACGGTCTTTGGTATCAAATGGTAACTTTTTTGCCTCTGTTTTGCTGGCCTACACGTCTCCATTATATTGGGGAAGTGGTTGTGATTGTCTTACTGTGTTTAACTACGGCCTAAAATCACAGGTTATGTCTTATGGGAATCTGCCAAGGTGGAATGTTTAAGTGACCAGCGACATTGCGTCTGACTGCCACAACATCAGCAACACGTCACTCTGTGTGCAAACCTTCGTTCGGTGCCAGCTAGAGTCATTTGTTCATTAGCGTAGCAGCATACAATAGGCTGTCACATGGTGTCAGGAGGTATCAGATGTTGGCATTTTTGAGTATGGGTAAAAAAGCACGGTATCGGGCCGGTGCCAGCTTTGATCCCATACTTTTCCCCCTTCAGTGTTTGATATTTGGATAAAACTGCTAAAGAACCATTTTGTTTATACATTCTCTCGTCTTTCTACCTTTTGTTGTTGGTGTAATGCTAGTAGTGTTTTGCTGTATATCAGTCATTTATTTGTGGACTTAAGCAATTGGCCAGTGACTGGGGTTTATATGTGAGTTTAAAGTCATTGGCCCCTAGTCATCAATGTTTGATCTGTAGTATTTTAGCAGCCTAAATATTCTTGATTATTAATAAACAATATTAAGGATCAATGAGATTTTGTTATAGTGAACTTATGAGCTACAGCACTGGGAGTTGAACGTCACACTGTGCGTCTTTGAGCTACCAACGAATCAACCCAA